CAATTATCAATGGAAATCAAATTCATCAACCCATGGAGGTCTGGATTTGGAGTCACCCTCAAAATTAAAGTGGAAAACCACACTACAGGCTGATCCAACTTTGATGTAATGTCCTTAAAACAAGTCAAAATGAGGCTCAGTAGTGTGTGTGGCCTCCACGTGCCTGTATGACCTCCCTACAATGCCTGGGCATGCTCCTGATGAGGTGGCGGATGGTCTCCTGAGGGATCTCCTCCCAGACCTGGACTAAAGCATCCGCCAACTCCTGGACAGTCTGTGGTGCAACGTGGCGTTGGTGGATGGAGCGAGACATGATGTCCCAGATGTGCTCAATTGGATTCAGGTCTGGGGAACGGGCGGGCCAGTCTATAGCATCAATGCCTTCCTCTTGCAGGAACTGCTGACACACTCCAGCCACATGAGGTCTAGCATTGTCTTGCATTAGGAGGAACCCAGGGCCAACCGCACCAGCATATGGTCTCACAAGGGGTCTGAGGATCTCATCTCGGTACCTAATGGCAGTCAGGCTACCTCTGGCGAGCACATGGAGGGCTGTGCGGCCCCCCAAAGAAATGCCACCCCACACCATGACTGACCCACCGCCAAACCGGTCATGCTGGAGGATGTTGCAGGCAGCAGAACGTTCTCCACGGCGTCTCCAGACTCTGTCACGTCTGTCACATGTGCTCAGTGTGAACCTGCTTTCATCTGTGAAGAGCACAGGGCGCCAGTGTCGAATTTGCCAATCTTGGTGTTCTCTGGCAAATGCCAAACGTCCTGCACGGTGTTGGGCTGTAAGCACAACCCCCAACTGTGGACGTCGGGCCCTCATACCACCCTCATGGAGTCTGTTTCTGACCGTTTGAGCAGACACATGCACATTTGTGGCCTGCTGGAGGTCATTTTGCAGGGCTCTGGCAGTGCTCCTCCTGCTCCTCCTTGCACAAAGGCGGAGGTAGCAGTCCTGCTGCTGGGTTGTTGCCCTCCTACGGCCTCCTCCACGTCTCCTGATGTACTGGCCTGTCTCCTGGTAGCGCCTCCATGCTCTGGACACTACGCTGACAGACACAGCAAACCTTCTTGCCACAGCTCGCATTGATGTGCCATCCTGGATGAGCTGCACTACCTGAGCCACTTGTGTGGGTTGTAGACTCCGTCTCATGCTACCACTAGAGTGAAAGCACCGCCAGCATTCAAAAGTGACCAAAACATCTGCCACGAAGCATAGGAACTGAGAAGTGGTCTGTGGTCACCACCTGCAAAACCAGTCCTTTATTGGGGGTGTCTTGCTAATTGCCTATAATTTCCACCTGTTGTCTATTCCATTTGCAAAACAGCATGTGAAATGTATTGTCAATCAGTGTTGCTTCCTAAGTGGACAGTTTGATTTCACAGAAGTGTGATTGACTTGGAGTTACATTGTGTTGTTTAAGTGTTCCCTTTATTTTTTTGAGCAGTGTATATAGCTATTTAAAAATATATATCTATTCAAATATCTTGCATATCTTATTTTCCATCATTATCAATTAATATGCGTAATAATGTCAGCAGTTCAAGCATACAGTGCCTTGCAAAAGTATTCATCCCCTTGGTGTTTTTCCTATTTTGTTGCATTACAACCTGTAATTTCAATGGATTTTTATTTGGATTTCATGTAATGGACATACACAAAATAGTCCAAATTGGTGAAGTGAAATGAAAAAAAATAACTTTTTTCAAAAAAAATATTAAAAATAACGGAAAAGGGGTGAGTGCATATGTATTCACCCCTTTGCTATGAAGCCCCTAAATAAGATCTGGTGCAACCAATTACCTTCAGAAGTCACATAATTAGTTAAATAAAGTCCACCTGTGTGCAATCTAAGTCACATGATCTCAGTATATATACACCTGTTCTGAAAGGCCCCAGAGTCTGCAACACCCCTAAGCAAGGGGCACCACCAAGCAAGCGGCACCATGAAGACCAAGGAGCTCTCCAAACAGGTCAGGGACAAAGTTGTGGAGAAGTACAGATCAGGGTTGGGTTATAAAAAAATATCAGAAACTTTGAACATCCCACTGAGCATCATTAAATCCATTATTAAAAAATGGAAAGAATATGGCACCACAACAAACCTGCCAAGAGAGGGCCGCCCACCAAAACTCATGGACCAGGCAAGGAGGGCATTAATCAGAGAGGCAACAAAGAGACCAAAGATAACCCTGAAGGAGCTGGAAAGCTCCACAGCGGAGATTGGAGTATCTGTCCATAGGACCACTTTAAGCCGTACACTCCACAGAGCTGGGCTTTACGGAAGAGTGGTCAGAAAATTGCCATTGCTTAAAGAAAAAAATAAGCAAACCCGTTTGGTGTTCACCAAAAGGCATGTGGGAGACTCCCCAAACATATGGAAGAAGGTACTCTGGTCAGATGAGACTAAAATTGAGCTTTTTGGCCATCAAGGAAAACACTATGTCTGGCGCAAACCCAACACCTCTCATCACCCCGAGAACACCATCCCCACAGTGAAGCATGGTGGTGGCAGCATCATGCTGTGGGGATGTTTTTCATCGGCAGGGACTGGGAAACTGGTCAGAATTGAAGAAATGATGGATGGCGCTAAATACAGGGAAATTCTTGAGGGAAAACTGTTTCAGTCTTCCAGAGATTTGAGACTGGGACGGAGGTTCACCTTCCAGCAGGACAATGACCCTAAGCATACTGCTAAAGCAACACTTGAGTGGTTTAAGGGGAAACATTTAAATGTCTTGGAATGGCGTAGTCAAAGCCCAGACCTCAATCCAATTGAGAATCTGTGGGATGACTTAAAGATTGCTATACTCCAGCGGAACCCATCCAACTTGAAAGAGCTGGAGCAGTTTTGCCTTGAATATTGGTTTGAGAAGTCAATGAGAGAAGTGAACAATTCTTCCTTAGTTGTTCATTTTCTCGAAATCTAAAGGCACAACCTAGATTCGAGCAAATGTCTTAAGTAGTTGAACATGTTATTACTCCAACCTCGTGAAAGTGACAAACTGACACGTTTTCATTTTCGTCAAAAAACAACTTTATATGGAAGGAGTGCCTTTGATTTGACGGCCTGCACATGCGCAGTTCGGCGCGAGACGACCGTTAGACCCGATGACGGGTTTCTGCGCATGAGTTTAGCTTGCCAACGTCGCCATGACATCGCCTACACGCGTGATCGGGGATTTATATTGGAGAAGCAGTTTCCGCCTATCTTCATACTGTACTATCATTGGCCCTGCAGTCAATGGGCTTGCCGCATCTCAATACTAGAGAATCTCAATTGCATTTCCTTGACTCGGCAGGTAGCGGCATCTAGCTTAGTGGGTAAGAGCGTTGTGCCAGTAACCGAAAGGTCGCTGGTTCTAATCCCCGAGCCGACTAGGTGAAAAATCTGTCGATGTGCCCTTAAGCAAGGCACTTAACCCTAATTGCTCCTGTAAGTCGCTCTGGATAAGAGCGTCTGCTAAATGACTAAAAATGTAAAAATGTAAACAAAAATTGACTCCTCCAAATCCATTGGAGGAGTGGGTCAGAGGGGGGGGGGGACATCTGGAGTCAATATATCTCAATTGAGATTATCCCATTGTGGGACGAATAATCTACCTCCCTTCTCTCCTTTATTAGAACTGTTTCAGATTCTGAAGATACATATAGTGTAGAAATGGCAGAGACCTATTTTGGGACTTTCCCCTATCTGGCTCTTTTATAGAAGTGGGGATGAAGGAAAGCAGACAAGGGGAGGAAGCCACTTTAGAAAATTGACATCTACCCAAAGAGGGTAGTCACTAATCTAGATACCAGTATCTGCCTGGCCTTCAAGAAAATAACTAAGTGTTAATCGCGTTAGCAGCGTTAGTAACGTTAGCAGCATAAGTATCATTAGTGTTAGTAATGTTAGTAGTGTTAGCAGCGTTAGTAACGTTAGTAGCATTAGTGCTAGTAATGTTAGTAGCATACATGAAAGTACAGAAAGGAAAAGACAAGTCACAATATTTTTTTTAAACATTATTTTCCCCCCAATCTTGGTCAAACAGGAGTTGCACTTAAGTGCAAAGGAAATATTAATTTCAGAACAACATGATTTAAAGAGGTACAATATTTGGATGTGATCTCCATAACTAAATCAAATAATTAAGTGGGTATGTCAGTTATATCTAAATAATGGAAATTGATCCAAGTCTACAATTAATCTATGTATTCACACAGAGCACACAATGAATCATAAGTGTCCAACGCTGAAAGCATACTAGTTGGCCTAAGGAACATATGTTTCGGAACCCTCTGGGCTTCTATTTCAAAATCCTGTAATTTTCAAACCAACTAGAAACAAATGATTTGCAAACCAATAAGGAAAGCCCAGTCAACAACTTTATAATATTAAGAGAAATATGACGAAAACATGGAAATGGCGTGATAGTCTGAATAAAGAAAATATACACACAATAAGTAAATGAGACTATTTGAAAAGGCACTGTTGATAGCTGCAATGGTAGATCACGGCACTGTACAGCGGAAGTACCAGAACTGTGGGTAGATGGAGTTGCATGTTCGACTCATGTCGGGACAACGGTAGCTAACCCTATCCCTTTTCTTAACCTGTGCCTTTATTCTCCTAACCTGCTACGTAAAGTCACCTCTGTCTGTAGCTGTACTCCATCTAGTCTCAACCTTAGTTTCTCATCTTGGTATGAAGATTCAACAGAGGCCCATTGCCTCTTGGGTATTGTAGTTTGCGCCTCACTGATACGTCGCATAACAAGGAACTGTTATCTCTACAACAATCATTGAAAAATAAAAATCCCCACACTTTTCATGATTCTCTTATTCATATTTACAGTGGTCCTCCTCAAATATAATATATCTTTATGTACAATTTTGCAGTAGGAAAGCATGTGTTTATAAAATCATTGAGAAGGTAAAGCAGCATTGCCATTTTAAAAGAGTCTTATCCTCCTGGGCCCGCATTCATTAAGCATCTCATAGTAGGAGTGATCCTAGGTCAGCACTCCTACTCAGACGCTTTATAAATCCAATCCCTGACGCCAGGTTGCATGTTAGGAGATGTATGTCTTGATCTTCTGTGTGATGGCTCCACAGCAGATGGGACACTTGTCAAGGGCCTCGGAACACTCCTTGCAGACGACCAGGTGCCCACAGGGGATGAAGACGATGCAGATGTCTCTGTCCATACACACTTTGCACTGTTTTTCCCTCTGCAGCTTCCATAGCTTCTCAAGGGGATCCTCTTCTGAAATAGGGGAAAAACATCAGTTGGTAACCGAGCACAATAAAGTAGTTAGAATACTGAACAACACAGTTTGATTCTGTTACTTCTATAGGCAAGCCTCATGTAGGCCTACAGTGTGAATAGCATTGTTACTTCTATAGCCAAGCCTCATGTAGGCCTACAGTGTGAATAGCATTGTTACTTCTATAGCCAAGCCTCATGTAGGCCTACAGTGTGAATAGCATTGTGATTTTATTGTGATTGACTGGAATATGCAGATGGATATACTAGGTCAAATTGCAAAACCTGTGGAATAAATTCAGGAATTTATTCGATTTATACTGTAAACCTCATTACCAGTTGTGATAGAACAGTGCCCTGATATAATGATACTAGCAACCATTGCTAAGAGTTTCCCCTTATGAGACACATACCATGGTTCTCTAGGGTCTCTGCATCACTGTCAGGGTCTCTGTTAAAGCAGTCCTGTAGCAGAGTCTCCAGGGTGGAGTGGCCTGTCCCAGCCCTGCGTATCCTCTCCAGGATAGTCCTCTCTACCAGGGCAGGCTCCAGGCCCATCTCTACCGCCCTCTGGGCCATGGCTGACCGCAGCACCCCTGCACAGAGAGAGGGAGAAGATTGAGCCAGTACTAGTATGTGTAGGAAATAGCACCCTATGAGAGAGAGATAGAATCTAACAATACGTTTGGCTAATGTTCCAAAACTTAAATAAAAAGTGAAAGGGGTACAACTTCACAAAAATGTTCATGTTACATCAAATTATTTGTTTTACCCGTCTCATGACTTGAACATCCATTTAGGTGACTTGAAGCCTGGAAAATCAATAGAAGGAAGGAATTTGATATGGTAGGAGTCATGCGAGGATGGGTGCAGTTTAATATGTTTGAGCGCAGGTTTAGGGGTTAGAGGTCAGGGTTAGGAGGATGGAGACTTACAGCATTGTTCCAGCCAGGACCTTGTAGCTGAACGCTGCTGACAAACTCCTGTCCTTTCTCTGCCAGCAGAAAACTGCACCTGGATTAAAACATGACATGCAACATTAGTGACTGGGAGAAGAAGCATGCATATGGTTGTTTACTTTCTACGGTGTGTGTTTTTACCCAGGATAGTGTTTGGCGTGCTCCTCCCAGGGATCCTCGTTCTGCTGCCAGCCCTTCAGACCTCCACCACAGCGGAAACACACCACACGGTCTGTAGCTCCTGCACCAACACAGAAACACACACACAGACACACTTAGGTTAAGATCAACCCAGACACACACTGGTTAGGATATGTACCCGGTCCCCTCTATATCAACTCCTCCCTGGCCCTTTTACCATTGAGTAGCAGGTAATAATAAGTATGAATTGTATTTGTTAATTACTTTTCTCACAGCCAAAGCTCTAGTCTACCCCACTCCCAGGTCTCACCTGTGTTGTAGAAGCCTGCTCTGGCCAGCCTCTCGTGGTCAATAGGGTGCTGGATTCCTGCAAAGCTGCCTAGCCTCTCCTCAAAGCTCTGCATAGGGACCCGAGGACCCGGGTGTGGCCTGGTCTCCCCCACCTCCCCCCCACTCCCCCCCTGAGAGGGGAGGTTCCCCACATCATGCCCCAAGATGAAGAAGCAGTAGGGGAAGTGTTTGGAGTGCTCCCCCCACGCCATGTCCCCAGCCTCCCAGCCCCCCAGCATCCCTCCACAACAGAAGCACTGCACCCGGTCGCTCTCCCCCAGATAGAAGAGCCCTGCCTGGACCAGCTCTCTAGGCCGGACCGGGGATGTGGAGGGCCACGGGCCAAAGGTGTTGAACCGGGAGTCTTCGCTGGCCATGTGCGGGGCCATGGGGTAGGTGGTGTCGTCCACCACCTCTCCCGTCCTCAGGCGGAACTCCATGTCCTCAGCGTCTTCGTTGTAGGGGGGTTCGTTGGTCAGCATGGCACCTTGAAGAGAGTTAACCCTGGAACGATGGGTGCAGCTCAGGAACTTACAGGTGGGGGAGACCTGAAACATTGCAACAGTAGTATGATAATTTGGTAGAAATATGAGATAATGTTAAAAAAAAGAAGGTTTTGCACATCGTCAGCATCCCGCTGCTCATCCTCACCTCCGCGTGCCTCTCCACGGGTGCGTCCCCTCCACACCAGTTCTCTACAGTCTTGTGGCAGCTGAAGCAGCGCACCTTGTCAGCCTGTCCTGTGAAGTAGAACCCAGCGCGGGCCAGCCTCTCCGCTGACACCTGCTGGGCCAGGGGGGAACCCCGGAATGAGTCCAGCCGCATGTCCATCATGGACCAGTCTACTGCGTGGTCTGATTCCAGATCACCATCTCTCCCGGGGCCTGACATCACCACACAGGGACAGGGCTGGACTGCCTTGGATGGATGAGCTGAAAAAAATAACTACAAAATAAAAACGTCATTTCCGGAGGTGCTAGTGAGCAAGCTATCAGGAATTTGGACAGACACCATGTAAATGCATAAGTTTGACAATAGAGAGCATTGTATTTCCTAAAGTGGCACTAGATGGCAATATGCACATTGCTATGGATATTGGGATGCTGTGCCTTTAAGACAGTAAGGAGTGTGTGGGAGGCAGGAACAGGCTCCGGGATATGCTCTCACACTACCAGACTGCCCTGCTCACCACAGGAATACACACACAAAGACAAATGTAATGAACACTATTATTTTAAGTGAGCACTGGGCTCAGTTTTCCATTATTTCCTATGATCTGCTCTTCAAAACAAAGCTCAGCATTTTGTAGGAAAGGAGTTACATAACGCCTACTTTGTGATTTGAATCAATCAGCCCTCTGAGTAATGTATTGCAACACAATTAATATCCAGCCTTATCAATGTTGGGCTACTGTAGGCTAGGTGTTATGGTACTTTCACACCTAACACACCACACATCCCCAATGGAGGATCAGGAACCGTTGTCAGTTAGAACAATCAGGTATTTCACCTCAGGCTGTATTCACCAATCAAATATTATCCAATCCCATCACTGTTCCTGCTATCAACAGTAATGCAATCAGTTACAACAGTACCTCGTTGCCATGCCTTGTGTTAGGCTAGATAAGTTGGCTTTAGCAGAAACAGAAAGGCACCTGGGCTACCAAACATAGAATTATAATTCCTATGGAATAGAATTAGGCTACTATGTCTATTCTACCAAACAACCAACCAATATTGGTCATGCTGGTTTTAATATTTTGTATACCTGCCGTCCCCATTGCGGCAAGCTTCAGAATTAAAAATGCAATTAGACTGGAGGTTGTCATGGTTTCACAGGCATCACTCTCACACTAATATGAACTTGGCATATTGCTGTGAAAACAGACATGTAGATGAGTAAATATGTGATGATGTCCTTGGAAAGTTTGCTGTATCCACTCATCCCCATATTCTCGCTGACATCTCCAAAAGGCATACATTCTGGAAAGTTCACAAGCTCTTGTTTGTGTCTATAGTAAGACAAAAGCCCCAAACATAAAACATATAGGTTGACGCGGTTCGCAATGTGCTGCCCATTGTCCTGTTTGACAGCTGAGTACTCTGCTGGGCGTGGATGCGCGCTGTCAGGGATTACGCACTCTTCCAATGCTATTTAGGACATAGTTAAATAAAACTAAAACAACGTTTCGTCTAATAACGAATACTAACAAGGCAAACGTTAAATGTCTATAGTGCACTTTGATCAGTCGATATTGAGAGCTGGTTCGCCATAGACAGTAACGTAGTACGACCGACGAGCTGTCAACCGTAACAGTTGAAAATGCATCGCAAAGACATACCCAATACACATACCTTGAAAAAGCTTGGATGTCAACTAGTGCCTCTGAGGTCTTGGATGCTGCCTGTCTCCTTCCCAAATAAGATCGATCACCCGTATTTTGACCAGACTATTTGACCCTGGTTCCAGGAAGTACGTTCAGCGTTGGTGTTGTTCTGCGCACCAGTACAGGCGCAGCCCACCTGACCACCATAACGGAAATGGATAGTTTATGACGTATAAAGAAAAGAGGGGGGGGACTCCCCACACCTGGTTATCTTGGGATTAATAGGCCCTTTTCACGATGACGTCATCTAACTTCCGCCTTTCCGCGTAGCAGGTTAACTTCACTTCCGTTCGCCCGTAACCTGAGACTTCTCAACGAAAATACAACTGTTGACCACTAACTAGCAAGCTAGCTACTTGAAGAAATTCCAAAAGGTACGTTTAAGTTAAATTAGTAAAGTTAAGAGTAATAATGTTTACGTATATGCAATGGTTTGTAACTTGCTAACGTTATTGTTAATTCATAATTGTTCACTGCCTTAGTTACTTAAAAGTGGGCTAACGTTAGCTAACAACAACTTAGTACCAGATACCGATAACGTTAAAAGGTAGCGTTACATTGCTGCCTGGCTGTAATGTAACAAGTTTACTTAGCTAGCTATCTAACCCTTTGTTAGGCAGTTAGTTTATTCATGAATGTATAGTAACTCACCTATTCAAATACTGTTGTGCATGATAGCTAGATAAATATTGATTCCTGGTCAAAGCTGAATGTTAATTTAGCTGTTTCTTTTCTCCCGGTGTCTGTATCGCAACAGTATCCCATCCAACACCGAAGCATGGCACAATCTTCGAGAAGATGCTATTGCAGTGTACCATTTTGTTCAAACAACAAACAGAAATTCCCGTATCTGAGTTTTCACGATTTCCCTGTTGATGGAGAAATACGTGCCCGTTGGGTGAGGGCGATCAGGAGAGATGAGGGACCAAGTTTTAAGATTCTTCGTGGGAGCACCTTTGTTTGCAGTCAGCACTTTCCCCCTGAGGATAGATACACATCGGCCAGTGGACGGATCCGTATTAAACAGGGATCAGTGCCGTCTAGATTCCACTGGAATGATTGGGGTAAGGATAGGTAGACAGCGTTAAACGTAATACTACTGTAATCCAATAATATATTACTTGTACAAAATGTTTAATAATTTAATCCTGATGCAATATAGCTGCTACATTTAGTCATTTTAGGGACTGAAAAGTGATTACCAAAATGTATCATGACAAGCATATGGTTAATTTCACACATATAGGAGGCGGCTCACAAGCTCGGGAGTCAGTTTACCAGCGAGCAAGAAAGCGTCTTGGTGTTGCTGTCCTGGATGATTCTGATCATGAGATGCCTGACAGCACAGAGGGTGCTTTGCCTGCAGTGACAAACGATCACGACTATGCCTGCCGTCCTTCTCCTGGTTAGTATTACAAATAAGAGTAACCATGTATCTGTTTGGCAAAAAAAGTAAAAGTATATGGCAGTTAAGTAAAAATACTATTTTGATTTTGAAACTGATCCACAGTGGAACTTTGTGGAATCATTCTTATTAAATCTGCAACCGCAGCAAAACACAACAAAAAGAAAACTTATCTATCTTAACCTATCTTATCATAATGTTAGAGAACTGTTTATCTGAGAAACCTGAAGCCGATGAGCCTCCTCATTTTTCTTCATGGACCTGTAACATCGCCCTCTCACTGTCACCTCACCGTTAACTACACTTGAGACTGTTTCAATACAGTGATTGGGAGAAAGGGCGCAGCATTAGCCATTAATACATTACTGACTCTTATCTTACGGTCGATACAAACAGCAGTAATATTAAAAAGAGGCTGCAAAACAGAAACTCGTCAGCTCATAACCTTCGCTAGCATAGGGCTAATTTAAGCTAAATAAAGATAAACACGTACCTTCATAATCAAACAGGTAACCTTCAACGAAGAACTTGTAGCCTTTATCAAGCTTCGATCTTGAAGTAAGGGACCACTTGTCAGCAAGTCGTTCTACGTCGTTAAGTCGTATTGGTGGCAGATGTGAAAGGGACTGGGTGAACTCCATAATGATGTGCTACTAGCTAAGCGTTCCTAAGCGACACCGGATGTAAACATAACCTGCATCGCGGCAGAACGGAAGTTGTCTGACGTCACGTGAAAAGGGCCTATTGAAAGAAAAAACAAACACCTGCAGATACTAGGCCCTCCATGGAATGAGTTTGACACCCCTGACTAGGCAAGTCGGAAATGTCATAGTTTCCTAGTTCCGACTAGTACGTGAACGCGGCATTTACATTGCATTGCGGTCGAAATTATAAATGAGAAATGTGGAAAGCATGAGGAATAGGTTGTTTTGATGAAAGTGGATGTATGGACAGAGATTTAGGCTATACCAGAGACGAAGCGAGAGGGTTTACTCCACCATAAAACCTGTACACGAAAATAACGCCACGAAGTTAGGAACTTTTGTATGTAGGTCAATGAGAGTGTCGAATTTGGTCAACAACATTTTTTAATTGCTAATTTGCTAGGTGAGGCTTATTTAATTGAATATACGTTTCTTAATGGCTAGGGTGTTATGAATGCACTGATAGAAGTGGACGCACATGGCATTTCGGGCAACTTTGAAATAAATATATATTGGAGTTGTGCCTGTGGTTCACACATATTTGCCCTCTCATTGGCTAGAATGGTCACACCTCGCCTCCCTTCCATCTTTGAGGACATGTATTTCCATTGTTAGAGCAGTCACTCGACCATCTTGTCAATATAATAGATAATTTTGGCTATACGTTGACTTTCAATAAGGGACTTAAAAGGGCCAAGGCTGCTTTTAATTTTTCTTCATCCTACCGATTTTTATTTTATTTTATATGCTCAAATCTATGCTCAAACCAATGATCCACCTTTTGTTTCTCCCATGGCTACACACACAGAGCGAGAGAGAGATTTTATAAACCCTGACCAAAACAAATGTGATATGGGAAGAACATGGGCATTTCCGTGGTTTTAAGGGTGAAACGGCACAGATCCTTCTTTCTAAAAACCACCCGACTTTCTGTGAAGTTTACACGTTAGGCCTATGTGACATCGGAAATGTGATGCTGTCATTTATTTACATACTTGGAGTTGTTCATTAATCCAAACATCCTCTTACCCAAAATGTATTTTTATGACCGATTCAATGAACGAATTATTATTTATTACATTTCTATAGCGCTTTTCTTAGAATCTCAAAGCGGTTCGTGAGGAAAAAACAAAGCAGCAATATATCAGGACAGGTCAACCAATAGAGGCCAAGTCTTTGAAAGCTGCATCCTCTGAAGACTGAGAGGGTCAGTTTATGGCTTGAGCAGAGGGAGCTGGTCAGAGGATGGTAGATAATGGTGATGGAGTCTGCTGATGGTCTTGTAGAGGGAAAGTCTGGGAACCAGCCTGACTCTTATACAGTGCTTGACGTGGACTGAAATAGGTGCTTGTACTCATTTTGGGTGCCTGTACTGTTTACATTGTAGGTGCAGGAGCTCCGCAATACGTTTGAGCTAATATTCTATAAGAGGAACAGGAGCTCAAGCAGTAGAACATTTGAGGTGCCGTTACTCAGGTCCTGTAAGCTCCTGCCCAAGTCAAGCACTGCACTTATAGCCACTGGACTTCTCCTCGTCCACTCTGTGTAACACCCACTTGGGTGATGCCTCAGCAGCTCTGGGTGCCAGAAATCTCACCAATCAAAGTTCAGAATAGTAGCCAGTCGTCCTCACTATGAGCCCTCGGCCTCAGCACTGCTGTATCCCTCTATCTTCCATTCCTCTCATGCTTCAGGCGACTCCTCAAATGATGTTCTCAGAAGATCAGGAATTGGCAGCCAGGTGAAACAAAAAAGCTGGTACTGTGTCCAGATGCATTTTTCAAACAACAATATTAGCCAGCTAGCTAGTTAGCCAAGCCAAAAAGTGTTAATTTGTCAGTCAATCTGTAAATCCGTGGCTCAAAAACACTACATATATGCAATAAAAACTCACTGTTATAAAAAGATATCCACAATTAAAAACACCTAAAAAAATAACTCAATGTACACATTTACAGGAGCTCTGCGATTAGGCTGGCAACCTGGTCTCAGAGCATTTCGTATTATTATGTACGTAAATCGAAAATGCCCATTTTATATGATATGTTACCTTTTGTATGGTATGTATTAATTTGTGGGTGTCCATCACCCATTTCGTATATGTTAAGAATTACAATTCGTATTATATGTTACGAATTTACTAAAAGTACAATATATTACGAATTTGAAAAACATACAATATGTTACGAATTTGAAAAATGTATGATATTTTACAAATTCTAGCTAGGTAGCTGTCTAACGTTAGCTAGGCTAGGGGTTAGGGTTAAGGTTATAGTTAAGTTTAGGAGTTAGGATAAAGGGTTAAGGTTTGGGTTAGGGGAAGGGTTGCTAAGTAGTTACAAAGTAGCTAAAAAGTAGTAAGTAGTTGAAAAGTTGCTAATTAGCTAAAATACATTGAACCTTGAATCATGATTATTTCATCTTCTGATTTAATCAAGCCGATTGTTTTCCTTTTCAAGTTTAGGTGACAAGCTGATGGGACAGAACCTCTGCTCAAATATCGGCTATATTATGAAGCACCTTAGAACTTGTAAATGTGCGCCAGAAGCGCACTCTGTCCCAGGCCTATCCAAAAGGCCTGAGGATGTGCCTCAAGCTGCAGAACCTTCTACAGTTCATGTGGAACAGGAGATCCTACAGCGGGCCTCAATGGTTGCCATACATCCGCGACATCAGACAGCTGTAGAGCGAGGGCTTCTACTGAGTTTATGTCGGTGAAACCGAGATTCCAGAGGGTCACCGGTGACATCTCCACGGCAACGGCCGCCTCGCGAAGCAGACACACCTGGAACGTCATTCACGCGGGAGGTCAGAGAGGATACGCTAATAGTTTATCGAATCCCATTGTGACGCAGAGGGGGACACTATTTGGCCGGGGGACATTATTTGGCATGACAGGTCCTCTGGAATTACAGTGAGGGAAAAAAGTATTTGATCCCCTGCTGATTTTGTACGTTTGCCCACTGACAAAGAAATGATCAGTCTATAATTTTAATGGTAGGTTTATTTGAACAGTGAGAGACAGAATAACAACCAAAAAATCCAGAAAAATGCATGTCATAAATGTTATAAATTGATTCGCATTTTAATGAGGGAAATAAGTATTTGACCCCTCTGCAAAGCATGACTTAGTACTTGGTGGCAAAACCTTTGTTGGCAATCACAGAGGTCAGATGTTTTTTGTAGTTGGCCACCAGGTTTGGACACATCTCAGGAGGGATTTTGTCCCACTTCTCTTTGCAGATCTTCTCCAAGTCATTAAGGTTTCGAGGCTGACGTTTGGCAACTCGAACCTTCAGCTCCCTCCACAGATTTTCTATGAGATTAAGGTCTGGAGACTGGCTAGGCCACTCCAGGACCTTAATGTGCCTCTTCTTGAGCCATTCCTTTGTTGCCTTGGCTGTGTTTTGGGTCAATGTCATGCTGGAATACCCATCCACTACCCATTTTCAATGCCCTGGCTGAGGGAAGGAGGTTCTCACCCAAGATTTGACGGTACATGGCCCCGTCCATCGTCCCTTTGATGCGGTGAACTTGTCCTGTCCCCTTAGCAGAAAAACACCCCCAAAGCATAATGTTTCCACCTCCATGTTTGACGGTGGGGATGGTGTTCTTGGGGTCATAGGCAGCATTCCTCCTCCTCCAAACACGGCGAGTTGAGTTGATGCCAAAGAGCTCCATTTTGGTCTCATCTGACCACAACACTTTCACCCAGTTTTCCTCTGAATCATTCAGATGTTCATTGGCAAACTTCAGACGGGCATGTTTATGTGCTTTCTTGAGCAGGGGAACCTTGCGGGCGCTGCAGGATTTCAGTCCTTCATGGCGTAGTGTGTTACCAATTGTTTTCTTGGTGACTATGGTCCCAGCTGCCTTGAGATCATTGACAAGATCCTCCCGTGTAGTTCTGGGCTGATTCCTCACCGTTCTCATGATCATTGCAACTCCACGAGGTGAGATCTTGCATGAAGCCCCAGGCTGAGGGAGATTGACAGTTATTTTGTGTTTCTTCCATTTGCGAATAATCGCACCAACTGTTGTCACCTTCTCACCAAGCTGCTTGGCGATGGTCTTGTAGCCCATTCCAGCCTTGTGTAGGTCTACAATCTTGTCCCTGACATCCTTGGAGAGCTCTTTGGTCTTGGCCATGGTGGAGAGTTTGGAATCTGATTGATTGATTGCTTCTGTGGACAGGTATCTTTTATACAGGTAACAAGCTGAGATTAGGAGCACTCCCTTTAAGAGTGTGCTCCTAATCTCAGCTCGTTACCTGTATAAAAGACACCTGGGAGCCAGAAATCTTTCTGATTGAGAGGGGGTCAAATACTTATTTCCCTCATTAAAATGCAAATCAATTTATAACATTTTTGACATGCGTTTTTCTGGATTTTTTTGTTATTCTGTCTCTCACTGTTCAAATAAACCTACCATTAAAATTATAGACTGAACATTTCTTTGTCAGTGGGCAAACGTACAAAATCAGCAGGGGATCAAATACTTTTTCCCCTCACTGTACAAACTACTCTTTCACTGTAGCGGTGTCTCCTCACTGCAGCCTTCAGGGGGAAAATGTGAAGAGTTGTGTGGCAGTTTGAGGGAGAACTACGGGAAATGTGAAGAGTTGTGTGGCAGTTTGAGGGAGAACTACGGGAAATGTGCGATAGTGATGAACAATCAAAGGAAAGGTAACGGTTGTGACTCGGGTTTCGCGGGGTACGTTCATCACCTGCCCGAGGCCCCGGTGGATCTCATGCCACAAGCGCACGTACGGGCATGAGCTTCTTCAAATCCTGTTCCAGTGCGCGCACATGAGCCCTCTGAACAGCTCGTGGTCCACCGTGGAGTGGTTTGCGACCAACAACCGGGGGAAGTATTCGGAGGCCATCTACCACCGAGGCACTCTACATAAATACATCTATTGGAACGAGCTATTGGATGGAGCTCTGAAGAAGATGACCAAGAGGAAATGGGAGGAAGCTTTGTCTTGAGTTAGGAAGAATGAGAATCATTACCTAAATGACAAGCAGTGATAACGGGTTAATTCAGACTAAAACATATGCACATGACATTGGCTAAGGGACTTTTTTTGGGGTAAATGTATAGTCTCCATGTGCTGTATGTGAGGGTAGTGCTATGGTCTATGCCAAGAGGTCTGAACCTTTATGGCACTGGATAGTGCACTCACCCCATACTGCAAGGTTATTGGTTCAAGCACGGTTCCTACTCCTCCTCAATCACTACTGTACAAACACTATGACACATTCAAATTCACAACCAAAATAGAATTTCATGTAACTTGTTACAGATTATCAATTTATTTGGAACCAAACAAATGCAATGAACTTACAACCAAATCACATTACACATTGACAGTGAAACATGTTTTAAATAGGCCTGGATATTAACATATGTAGACAAGGTGATTAATTTCATCAAGTTGTTAAGACACCAACTTATTACATCTTTTTAAAAACAAGGTTTAAGAAGACAAATTTCTAGAACAGTTTCAAACAACATAGGTTCCTCTGGTAAGTAGCTGTAGGGTACTATCATGGTCAGTCTCTGAGATACCTCCAGTCCAGTCAGAATAGCTCTTTCCTCCAACAAAAATGCTGCCATACAGACCGCATCTCAATATTCCACAGTGGCCTCCTCTCCTCATCTCAATATTCCACAGTGGCCTCCTCTCCTCCCCTCAATATTCCACAGTGGCCTCCTCTCCTCATCTCAATAATCCACAGTGGCCTCCTCTCCTCATCTCAATATTCCACAGTGGCCTCCTCTCCTCTCCTCAATATTCCACAGTGGCCTCCTCTCCTCTCCTCAATATTCCACAGTGGCCTCCTCTCCTCTCCTCATCCCCTCTCCTGCCATTCCAACTCTCTCACTCGCCTCACCTCCTCTCCTTCATCTACACTGATCTGTAACTGGACTGGTGGAAGTACCCCCCCCCCGCCGGACTAGAATATAGAGGATAGGTCAAAGCAATATGGCAGAGTTTATCCTGTTTTCTCAAATCAGTGGAGATGAAGGAGAGATTAGGAGAGGAGAGGAAGCCCCTTTAGACCACGGTCGACTGGATCTTCTCGCTGCTTCAGTGTGTGATCAGATGGATCAGACGTTTCCTCCTTCTACGATCCTCCGCAGCAGTGTGGCCAGACCTCCTTTAGAGATCTGTAATGGTGTCTTCTCCTCCTTGTTCTCTATGTAGATGCTGGCTCCGTTCTCCACCAGGAGTTTAGCTGCCTCCACACGCTCCTCGTCACACGCCAGGTGGCTGGGGGAGACACACAAATATATAGCATGGTGTAAAAAGTGTAGAAAACAGCGTCAACAAACACACACAAAGATTAAGCACGGTGTAAAATACACAGCATCTATAACACACACCCCAATGCTTACAGTGCAGTGTTTCCCTCAGAGTCCTGTATGTTGGTAGAAGCGCTCTGTTTGAGCAGCAGCTGGATCAGACGGCAGTTGCCCTTGGTTGAGGCTCTGTGTAGGGGAGTAGACGCCAGCTTATCTGTGACATTAGGGTCCGCTCCACTCTCCAACAACAGGAGGGCGATCTGTGAAGAAGACCAACCATTTGCATTACCAACCAACATAACATGTTATACAGTTCTTATTTTCTGCTTTAATAGCTGCAGAACTACTGTAGCAAAGCCAGGGGAACATACTTGGTTCTGGCAGGGATTGAACTAGCAACACTCAATCCCAAAACGGAGCTAATAGTCACTGTGCCAACTAACTAACCCACTTGGTATTGAGTAAATCAGATCGCTTCAGAACAGTATCCGTCTGACATTGTGGACCCAGTGTTGGTGTACCTCATATCTGTCCTTGGAGGCAGCGTAGTGCAGAGGGGTGCAGCCGTTCTGGTTGACTGAGTTCAGCTGGGCTCCTTTGTTTATTAGTGACTTCACTATCTCCTCTCTGCCTGCAGATGCTGCGATGTGGAGGGGAGTCCAACTGGCCTGGGGACAAGAGATGAGACATCACTCTCAGATGGACACATTTGACATTTACATTTTAGTCATTTAGCAGACGCTCTTATCCAGAGCGACTTACAGGAGCAATTAGGGTTAAGTGCCTTGCTCAAGGACACATCGACAGATTTTTCACCTAGTCGGCTCGGGGATTTAGAACCAGCGACCTTTCGATTACTGGCACAACGCTCTTAACCACTAAGCTACCTGCCGCCCAGACACAGTAACTTCTTCTTCTTCTAGGATAGTCATGTAGTGATAGGCGGCAGGTAGCTTAGTGGTTAAGAGCGTTGTGCCAGTAACCGACAGAATAGACTTGCATGTAGGGGAAACTACTACCAAAGATACTTATAACCAACTCCCCTAGTCATCTGTGCTACTACACTATGGTGACATTCAACAGATCAAGCATCTACAGTACTTACAATATCAAATTATTGCAACGCAACAAGTCAATATAATTGTCCAATGCTGCAGACAATGACTTTGCAATATTTACATCATCTTGTAGGTTGACTTCTACCCCCAGATCCAGCAGAAACTCAACGATCTTGACGTGTCCAGCCGAGCAGGCCCAGTGGAGCGCAGTCCTTTGGTCCTGGGAGAGGGGAAAAGCACAGGAGACCGGAGGAATATGGAAGGGGACATGTGGATGTATCAGCAAATGTAGCTAGTTAGCTCACTAGCTAACTGACTGCTGCCTGAAGCAGCTAGCTAGCTGGTAATTAATTTCAAGTGATGATCATTTACCTGGTCCGTTTTGCAAGCGAGCGATTTATCCGTTAAAATGCTTTTCTTTAATTTGTCAAATTCACCAGTGAAGGCTAAATTACAGACTTCCACATTTGAAACAGTTTGCTCCATCATGAAAGATAGCTAGCTCAACTCACTACGCGGTAAATTGGACTGAAATAAACATCAACATGACTCAGGAAATGTACCTAGGTTCTATTTCCGGGTTAAGTGGGCGTAAATTGAGGTTTCAGAATAAAAGCCCCCAGCAGCAGGCGGGAATTTTGCGCCACTATTGGTAGAGGGACCGAAATTGGTGCGGTTTGGAAAATGTTTTAAAAAATGATGGGGAAAGGTAAAACTGTTGGAATTCCAGTGTTGATAGAAGGAAACGTCACAGCTGTATCAAGTAAAGAAAAGGCAAATGTCCTAGGTGGTGCATTTGCAGCGATTCATAGATCTGAGCACCTGTGTGATCAGAGTAGCAGGAGACAGGGAAATGTTAAAGGAGAATGGAGATGTCTTAAAGAGAAAAAGGGAGTCAGGAGAAGCTAAGGATGCAGAGTTCTCTATGTTTGAGATGACAAGGGCGTTGGAGGGTTGCGGGCGGACTGCTTGTGGAGAAGATAGGATGTGTTATGTGATGTTTAAGCATGCACCGGACAGTGTGTTGGAAGCTGTGTTAGGGTTGTATAATAAGGTGTGGAACACTGGGGTGATGCCTGCTGGGTGGAAACATGCAGTGGTGTTGCCGTTTGTAAAACCAGGTAAAGATCCCGCTAGGGCGGTTAGTACAGAGATAGCCAAGGCCCTGACAATAAAAGAGGTGATGAGTGTGGATATTTTGACATTGAGAAAGTTTACGATGCCATGTGGAAGGAAGGGTTGTTGATCAAATTGAGTGCATTGGGGGACGTCTGTATAACTGGATCATGGACTTCCTGTTCGATCGAGTCATATGGGTGGAGTCAGAATTGTCAATGTGGTTTGAAGTGGACACTGGGAAGTGTGGTTAGTGCGGTGTTGTTCACCCTGATGAAAGATTACATATTTAAGAAGGTGGGACAGGGAGTGGGTGTGGCCTTGTATGCCGATGATGGGGCTGTATGGAAGAGAGGTGGAGATGTGAAATATGTGATGAGGAAGATGCAAGAAGCTGTGGGAGTTTTGGAACATTGGTCTCTAACATGGGGGTTTAGGATGTCTGTGCCCAAGTCCTGCTTTATGGTGTTTTCTAGGAGGAAGGTTAAAGATGTTAGTCTGCAAATATACGGTCAGGATATAGGTAGGGTTTCTGAGTTTAAGTATTTAGGTATGTGGTTTGATGAGAGCCTTACGTGGAAGAGACATTTTGAGCATATTGAAATTAAGTGTAGGAAGGTGTTGAACCTCATGAGGGCAGTGGCAGGATATGATTGGGGGTCGGATGGACAAACACTGTTGTATATGTAGCAGGCATTGATCAGGTCATCTTTGGATTATGGGTGCTTTGTATATGGATCAGCAGCCAAAACGGTACTACAGTGCCTGGACAGGATACAGTCAAGGGCCCTGAGATTGTGTGTGGGTGCCTTCAGGACGACACCTGTTGAGGAAAAGGCGGGGCAAACTTGCATTAGTGTACTGGGCGAGGTTGCAAGGGAGTTCAGAAGGACATCCTACGGTCAAGGCAACTGGGGAATGCTGGGAGCGAGGAGTGGGGGTAAGCAGAGGGCGTACGGGTGGGCAATTGGCAGAAGGTGGTAGAATATGGACTGGGGAAGAGAGAGATAGGGCCGGCATTTGGGAACGTTCCTCCGTTGCTTTTTCCCAAACCAAGTGTAGATGTGGACATGATTGAGGGCAGGAGAGGACTTGAGACGGTGTGTGGAGAGATATATAGATAATCATTTTTATTCATTTTTTAAGGATATACACTATCAAAAGTTTGGACACACCTACTCATTCAAGGATTTTTCTTTATTTTTACATTGTAGAATAATAGTGAAGCTATCAAAATTATGAAATAACATGTATTAACCAAAAAAGTGTTAAACAAATCCAAATATATTTTATATTTGAGATTATTCAAATAGCCACCCTTTGCCTTGATGACAGCTTTGCACCCTCTTGGCATTCTCTCAACCAGCTTCACCTGGAATGCTTTTCCAACAGTCTTGAAGGAGTTCCCACATATGCTGAGCGCTTGTTGGCTGCTTTTCCTTCACTCTGCGGTCCGACTCATCCCAAACCATCTCACTTTCTTAGAGGAACAGGACTAATGAGAGAATTGAATGTAGGTTGGCCGTGACTGGCCTCACACTCCAGTACAGTAGGTGGCGGTGTATACAACTTAAAAGTTGGATGCGATCTGCCAACCCAATCCCAAAGAAGTAGAACGCCCCCCCCCCCCCCCCCCCCCCCCCCTTTAATTTCACTTTTATTTTGAATAAACATGATCTATGACCAGCGGAAGTAATTACGTCACACACTTGTCGACTGAAAAATAGTGTTGAATCACACACATTTTCATAAACATCGTGCTTTTGAAGTTGCATTCTGTAGTATTTGATATATCTCTCAAATGTAGAAATTGCCTGTCCATTTGACGACGAGGAAAGACAACAAAAAGTATACAGCTATGGCTGCAACAGTTGTAAGTTTATCTTTCAGCTAGCTAACAAGAATAAGCTAACTAGCTACCCTCGTGTTCTTTATTGTAGCTACGTTTTTAGTTGTTGGGTTATATATTTGTAAAGATACCTAGCTACACTACTACACTTTCACAAACCCTAAATGTGAACAGCAGACACTGGGGCCACCAATGCAGCCAGCGTGATTGGACAGTGGAATCCGGTTTGAACCAATGATTTATATATATACACCATTGGTTTGAACCAGCAACCCTGCCAGTTATGATATGATATACTTTATTGTCCCTGCTTCCACATAAATATATAGAATCAATTGACACAGCATACACCCCACTCACTCCCCACCCACACAAAAAGTAAGTAAGTTCATGCCAGGCAAGGATGCAGTTCCACATGATGAAGGCCTAGACCCTAGAGGCACTGGAACTGCCTACCTACAGGCCTTCATCATGGTGAACTGCCACCTACCTACAGGCCTTCATCATGGTGAACTGATACCTAGTGACAGGCCTTCATCATGGTGAACTGATACCTAGTGACAGGCCTTCATCATGGTGAACTGATACCTAGTGACAGGCCTTCATCATGGTGAACTGCCACCTACCTACAGGCCTTCATCATGGTGAACTGCCACCTACCTACAGGCCTTAATCATGGTGAACTGCCACCTACCTACAGGCCTACATACCTAGGGACAGGCCTTCATCATGGTGAACTGATACCTAGGGACAGGCCTTCATCATGGTGAACTGATACCTAGTGACAGGCCTTCATCATGGTGAACTGATACCTAATGACAGGCCTTCATCATGGTGAATTGATACCTAATGACAGGTCTTTATCATGGTGAACTGATACCTAGTGACAGGCCTTCATCATGGTGAACTGCCACTTAGTGACAGGCCTTCATCATGGTGAACTGATACCTGGTGACAGCCTTCCAGCTCAAGTGCACTACTACCTCCTGTGCCATAATTTGAATTAGATCTGAGGATGACTGGTCTCCCTGTAACCCAGGGATGGGCAATCATTTCGGCTCGAGGGCCACATAGAGATTTCAAAATTCAGCGGAGAGTCAAAAGCAATTTGCGAGCCAAAAAAAGGCAATTAATTTCAAGACTGATAGGCCCATTATAATTTCTACATACTTTATATCTAGTTTTAGATGTTCAAGAGTGGCCTGGAGGTTTAAACCCCCCCGGGCCAGATTGAATGGGCTAGCTGGCCGTATGTTGCCCATCCCTGCTGTAACCCTTGGCCCTGGAACAGCAGGATCGCTGTGGTCTGACTCTCAGAGATCCTATTGAATTCAATTATTTTATTATATGCCATTTAGCAGATGCATTTATCCAAAACGACTTACAGTCATGCATACATGTACAAACAGGTGGTCCCGGGAATTGAACCCTCTACGCTGGCGTTGCAAGCGCCATGCTCAACCAACAGAGCTACAGATGATGTAATTCTATGGTCTGACCATTCCCCCCCCCCAAAAAAAAAAAATCTAAGGCATATCTCTCTATTGACCAAGTTGTTGTCAATGGCTGTCATTCAATCAATCACACTTCACACTTTGTCCCTTCTCCAGGATTTCAGGACCCACGTTGACGCGTCATGCAGGTATTCAGAGGAGTTCACCAACATATATTATGACTGCATGGACAAGAAAAGGAGGGTAGGTACTGATTCATCTGGGCTCTGTGTGAATGCACTGAACCATACAGGTTACACAGGTACAAACACCTCCCTCAGTATCCCTACTTTGGGAAAACACTTCTTTGTGAGCGCCTTGAAATATCTCAATTGTAGCTAGATAGCTAACTCCCTACTGTTGATCTTCACCCAGAACTTGATGCGGCTCTACCTGGACAAAGCGACCCTGGTCTGGAACGGGAATGCTGTGTCAGGGCAGGCTGCTCTCGGGGAATTCTTTGAGTCGCTTCCCTCTAGCGAGTTCAGTGTCCAGACTCTGGACTGTCAGCCAGTGCACGGTGACATTCTTTCCCACAATTATAATTTTCTAAACTATTTACATTGGCCCCTGTAGCTCAGTTGGTAGAGCATGGCGCTTGCAACGCCAGGGTTGTGGGTTTGTTTCCCACGGGGGGCCAGTATGAAAATGTATGCACTCATTAACTGTAAGTCACTCTGGATAAGAGCATCTGCTAAATGACTAAAAATGTTTTTTTTAATTGTAACTGAAAAAAATCGCTATAAACAATTATTGACTCGTATTACACATGTAAAATTAGACATACAAATTAAACATGGGAACATGTTATTTTTTTAAAGGAGATAGAAATGTATAGACCCAGAAAATATTAACTAAGTCACAATTATTATATTGTTGACACTAAACAGCATGTACTACCTTCTATCTAGGATATCCACATTTAGAAATGCTTCTTCAGATGGATCTACCATTCGGCTATTAGACCGTAATCCAGTTTTTTGATAAACTTGGATTCATTGAGATGCTGCCTAAAATGTATAATGCTGACATTTACATACCAAAATATATAGTAGTCCAACAACTTTAGCCTCGTTCCATCATCCTGATCACACAATATAGAAACAGAATGTGATCTTGCGTGATCAGGATGGCGGAACAAGGCCTACACCACTTTCCCCTCCTTATATTCCCATACAGAACAGGCAACCCAGGGCCAGACCACGCTGCTGGTGGTGACGGCAGGACAGGTGAAGTTTGACGGACAAAAGCAGCGCTACTTCAATCAGAACTTCCTCCTCACAGCCCAGGCGTCGCCCACCAGTGATCAGCCTGTCTGGAAGATCGCCAGTGACTGTTTCCGCTTTCAGGACTGGAGTAGCTGAGGCCTACTTTAATCTGGTTTTAGGGTCGTGTTCATTAGGGCACACAATAGCAAAACAAATTGCAACGAGCTACGAAAACAAGCATTTCTTATTGGACACGTTTCAGTCTGTTTGGTGCCTAATGAGTACAACCCTGCTTTAAGATTAGGTCTTTATTGTAATGCCAGTTACACTGTGTACCTAAAGACTTTTGTAATAAAATAAATACGAAGTAGTCAAATACAAAACATTTTTATTCACCAATGTCCCCAAAAGCATGTGACCCCCAGAATGGAATAAATAACAATTTTTCAAACAAAGACGGAAAGTATTTGGAGAAAGAAGTGGACTGGACTCTCAAATGTTAATTACAGACCTGCTTACTGTTGTGACATAACGTGAAAATATCTTACTATCCTCATAACATTACTTTGAGTATTCAGGTAAAGACATCTATTGCTATTGCCCATGTGGTCTATACTCCTGGCCAAATAATATATTAAATATCTGCTATTTTAAGTTTCCTGAGTGACACATTTGGTGTGACATATGCAAAGCGATACAACCAAATAACATATTTGATAGGAATAGAATGTACAAAAAATAAAATAAACCGAATTGTTCAAGTCTGAATGCTTATTTAGTCTTAAAATATACCTTGGCTTTTCTAAAGCAATGGATGGACGTAACATGATTCTAAATAAATATAACCAAAACTTAAGACACTGGGAAGTGAGAGCACGGGAAGGCACAGTAATGTCGCTACTGCCATCTTACCACTAGAGGGCAGCAGAACATTCTCAACTACATAACATGATATATAGGTAGAGAGATGTGTGTATATACATATACATACATACATTGGCCAAATCTGATGAGCAACAACGTCTTTACAGAACCCACAGAGAGAAAGACTACATAGATATTAAAAAATACATCAGTTACAAATCGGGTACAAAGAGCTTAGGTGGAATGGCAGGTAAGCAATGACTTGGAATGGTTCCATTTCCTCAATGTTCCATTTGTTTGTTAGTGAGAGGACTTTTCTAGAAACATACACTTCTATAACGCTGGATCAGCTTCAAGTTTGATTTCCCAATAAATAAATTTCCCATCTACAGTTCAGACTCATCAGTGTCTTTTCCTAATGACAACGATGGAGGTCAGAACTGGACGTGCTTGAGTGCAATGTTTTTTACAAGTACATTATTAGCACAAATAACTGGCTAATAGGGATATTCTTTATATACACACCAAGAACAGTAGCCTGGGTACCGAATGGTTTCTCATCATCGCCGTCCCAAATTACACCCTATTCCCTTTGCAGTGCACTACTTTTGACCAGGGCACATAGGGCTCTGGTCAAATGTAGTGCACTACATAGGGAATAGGGTGCCACAAGATGCCGACAAGTCAGCTGAAGCAGAAACATGACTGGCACGGACTGAGGCTATATAAACTAACAGTGGAATGTTGGCGACTTTGGCTTAGGTCAAGGGTTAGCCAACCCTCCTCCTGAACAGATACACTGTGTGTATGCTTTTGCTCCAACCCTGCTCTAACACAAAATTCAACTAATTGGCTACCTGTAACCAAGACCTTGATTAGCTGAATCAAATGGGTTAGAGCAGGGCTGAGCGAAAGCCTGCACACCATGAATCTCTCAAGGTCTGCGCCCCAAAATGGAACCCTATTCCCTACATAGTGCACTACTTTTGACAAGAGCCCTATTGGCATTAGGTGAAGTTTTAGGTCATTACATTACTGTCTCCCATACATCCTCTCTATGTGCTGAAGATAGTGGTTCTTTAACTCTTTCCTCTTCAGCTTGAAGGCATCAGTCACCAGGCCTGTCTCAGGGGTCCAGGGCTCTGGGCTGAGGTGGACCTTCACTGGGATCTCAAACCTCTGGAGGTTAACTAGAGGAGGAAGGAAAGATAAAGGAGAGGAAAAAGAAAGAGAGAGAGAGAGAAAGGTCATTACAAATCTGACAATAGCTATGTTTCCATTAAATTTTTGTCAACATTTAGGATGTTTGCATAGAAATTGGAAGCAACAATTACCTGCCATGGTGCATTTCCCTTGAACTGTTATCCTATTAGGCAAATTGGCATTCATAAAGTGGCAACAGCCTGTATAGAGCCACACAGTGGAGGTGTCATAATACCCATCAAACAGGGAAATGGTTCAAATCGTTTTTCCAATTATTATTATTATTTTTTCCATAGGGAATTTTAGAAACACTTAAAATAAGAGCTGTGTTTTGTGTAGGCTTACCCTGGCATGACGTTTTGATAACCATGTAAATCTCTCTCGGACAAGGTGACTTTTATCAATATATTCATCTCTATTTACTCTCAGATTGGAAAATGCTAATTAGCATCAAAGTAGACATCATGCAAAACTACAAATCCCTACAAGCTCCTGCACATCATCTCTAGCTGATATCTTTGCTAACAGGTTTTGTGTCAATTTAAAACTTGCACAAGACAGTTCAAATAATTGTCAATTTAAAGAAATGTAGCCAATTTATTCATTACTACATTTAGCTAACATTAGATCGTTAATCCAGAGATTCTTACCTTTGCCTCGATTCGGCAGTCTCGTCCAGATCATCATGGCATCTGTAGTTCTTTATGATAGCCACATTAGCAGCTAATTAGCGTTACATTTTCTGGGGATAAATACAGGCGACTATATTGCTAAAAGTCACCTTGTCCTAGAGAGATTTACACAGTTATCAAAACATCACGCCAAGGTAAGCCTACACGTAACACAGCCCTTATTTTAACTGTTTCTAAAATCTCCTTTGGGCAAAATGAATCGTGGAAAAGCAAATTGGAACCATTTCCCTGTTTGACCTCGAGGTTTTATGGGTATTATGACTCTTACTGTGGTACTCTATACCCTGCCCACCTACCGATCTTTAATGTCTCAGGTAGCCTGCAAAAACCAGCACGGATAGATTGCAAAAATTGACTAATATTTGCCATCTTCCAATACAGTAATTCTCATGTGCCTACTTATCACCACGGTCCGTGCCATGGTGTAACTTGCACTGACGCAGGCCTAGCTGGTCTGAAACAATTTGATGGTGAAACTTCAAATTGCAATGTGAAGCAATTCAGGCATTCCTGAAAGTCAAGACAATCCTTGTCCTGCAAAGAAACACTTTTTATTGTTGAATAAATGGATTTTGCAAGCAGTAGGCATTTAGAATGAAACGTGGAGTGGAGCTTTATAGTTGATAACATAATGTGCCCCGCGTACCTTCAATATTATCCGGCCATCATAATTTATTAGAAAAACACAGTTTCCACCATCATTTGTCGCAATAAAGGAAGTTCCACAATATAAAAATCCACCCGTCGAACGTATAAAAATGTATTAGATCTTTCGAAAATGTATCCTACATCTGCCATTTCCATCACACGTCGCAATATTTTTTTTTTGCATAAACCTGGGTCAATGGAAACCTGCCTAGTGAGACGAAATCAATCCAAACATCTAAATCAATCTAATGGACATCAGGGTTGTATTCACTAGACCAAACGTAAGAAAACAGACAGAAACCTTTCCCAATAAGAAACCCTTGTTTATGTTGCCAAACGTTTTGCTACGGTATGCCCTAATGAATAGGACCCAGGGGTTCTTACTTGAAGTGGCCACCTCCTTGATCTCTTTCAGCACCTCCTTCTCCATGGCAGGGTGGGTGCACACCTCCTCCCAGCTCCCCTCCACTCCCCTCTGTCTGGCCAGCTCAGTCAACCTCTTCTGGTTGGGTACCACAACACTGATCACATAGTTCTGCTCACTGCAGGGGTTAGAGGTCAGAGGTAAGAATGGATCCAAGGTCAGAGTTCATGGGTTAGAAGCACCCATACAGGCTGAGAGATCTGAAATAGCTGGAGTTACACGTTGCCAGTAAGCACAGCTTTAAGACCAGTTCACCCTCTGCAAATGTAAACCTCTACCACTAGAGAGGTGAAACTGATCTCAGATCAGCATCTAGGGCTAGGGCTCACCTGTTAGCGTAAGCACAGATGTTGTCGATGAGGGAGCAGTTCTTCAGAGCAGCTTCTACTTTCCCCAGAGAGACGTATTCCCCAGCCTGGAGCTTCACTAGGTCCTTCTTACGGTCTGATTAACAATAACACACACACCACAATGCAAGATATTGCTTTAAAATTACTTATTTTACAGGTGCTTTAACTGTTAAATGACATTTGCCCACTAGATTAGAATGTATATGCCTATGATGGACAATGAGAAGATCCTCCAACGGACACAGGTTACATACCCACTATCTGTAGACATCCGTCAGGGTGGATCTCTCCTATGTCTCCTGTACAGAACCACCTCTGACCCTTCTCGTCCACAAAGAAGTCCTGGTTGTTACTCTCGTTCCTATAGTAACCCATAGTGATGTTAGGCCCTCCAATCAGAATCTCCCCTCGGGGGTGAGGCTTGTCCTGATTGGTGTAGCCTCCCTCCAGCCAGTCCCTGAGTCGGATCTCACAGCAGATGACAGGAGCTCCGACTCTACCTGTACTTTTGTCTGCCACTGGACAGAGGGAATAGAGGGAACACAACCTTTAGTAATGCAGGTAAAGCAAAGGCTTTCCATACTACCCCCACCTGCCCGCCTCACTCCATACCCTCCCCTTACCCTCTGTGATGGTGCCAGCTCCACAGGTTTCAGTCAGTCCGTACCCCTGGCCCACAGGACAGCAGAAACATATGTTCATAAACCTCTGTGTGGCGGAGGAAAGAGGAGCCCCTCCAGACAACATCAGCCTCACCCTGCCGCCCAGCAGCCTCCTCACCTTACTGAACAGCAGCCTAGACACAGACACACAGAACTGTAAACATACACCAATACACTCTACTCTAACACTCACTGAGATTACTTCTGTTTAATGTATGATTCCCTATCTGGATACATGTCTTGTTATTTTAGGTGATTTATACTGAATCATTTCACATGCGAATAATACTTCTCCTCTAGGTTAATGTGATCGTCAGAAAACATGTTTTAATACAACATATCACATGTTAGTCATGAGGTAAAAAGTGTTGTTACGCGTTGCAGAGAGGAGCATCGTAGCCCCTCTTGACCTGCTCCAGTTTGTAGTTGTATCCCAGGTTGAACAGCGTCCTCTGAATGTAACTCATGTCCCCAACCTTACTCATCACGTTCTTATTGATGCGGTCCAGGATTTCCTGTTCAAACAAACAAACGGTACAGTAAACCAGAGAGAGATATGGGTCGTCTTACCGGTACAGTAAACCACAGAGAGATATGGGTCGTCTTACCGGTACAGTAAACCACAGAGAGATATGGGTCGTCTTACCGGTACAGTTAACCAGAGAGAAATATGGGTCGTCTTACCGGTACAGTAAACCACAGAGAGATATGGGTCGTCTTACCGGTACAGCAGCCATCAGAGTTGGTTTCAGCACAGAGGAGTCTCCTCTACTTCCCCTCTTTATCTTAGTGGACTGGAGAGAGAGGAGAGGACATCAACATAGGACATCAACATAGGACTGGCGAGGACATCAACATAGGACTGGAGAGAGAGGACATCAACATTGGACATCAACATAGGACTGGAGAGAGAGGAGAGGACATCAACATAGGACTGGAGAGAGAGGAGAGGACATCAACATAGGACTGGAGAGAGAGGAGAGGACATCAACATAGGACTGGAAAGGACATCAACATAGGACTGGAGAGAGAGGAGAGGACATCAACATAGGACTGGAGAGGACATCAACATAGGACTGGAGAGGACATCAACATAGGACTGGAGAGAGAGGAGAGGACATCAACATAGGACTGGAGAGGACATCAACATAGGACTGGAGAGAGGAGAGGACAACAACATAGGACTGGAGAGAGAGGAGAGGACATCAACATAGGACTGGAGAGAGGAGAGGACAACAACATAGGACTGGAGAGAGAGGAGAGGACATCAACATAGGACTGGAGAGGACATCAACATAGGACTGGAGAGGACATCAACATAGGACTGGAGAGAGGAGAGGACAACAACATAGGACTGGAGAGAGAGGAGAGGACATCAACATAGGACTGGAGAGGACATCAACATAGGACTGGGAGAGAGGAGAGGACATCAACATAGGACTGGAGAGAGAGGACATCAACATAGGACTGGAGAGAGAGGAGAGGACATCAACATAAGACTGGAGAGAGAGGAGAGGACATCAACATAGGGCACTGCCCCCCCACCCCATCCTTTTTACGCTGCTGCTACTCTGTTAAGTATTTATGCATAGTCACTTTAACTCTACCCACATGTACATATTACCTCAACTACCTCAACTAGCCGGTGCCCCCGCACATTGACTCTGCAACGGTACCCCCCTGTATATATAGCCTCCCTACTGTCACTTTATTTTACTTCTGCTCTTTTTTTTCTCAACACTTTTTTTTGTTGTTGTTTTATTTTTACTTTTTTTGTTTAAAATAAATGCACTGTTGGTTAAGGGCTGTAAGTAAGCATTTCACTGCAATGTCTGCACCTGTTGTATTCGGCGCATGTGACCAATAAAATTTGATTTGATTTGAGAGGAGAGGACATCAACATAGGACTGGAGAGAGAGGAGAGGACATCAACATAGGACTGGAGAGAGAGGAGAGGACATCAACATAGGACTGGAGAGAGAGGAGAGGACATCAACATAGGACTGGAGAGAGAGGAGAGGACATCAACATAGGACTGGAGAGAGAGGAGAGGACATCAACATAGGACTGGATGAAGAGGCTTAAAATATTTTCAGTGAAAGTTTGCAGACAGAATAACAGGGAAACCACTGATTAAATCAAGCCTTCATTACCTGGTCAGAGAGTGTCTGAGGGGAGGAGTAACCGATGGGACAGCCGTACGCCATGCAGGAGATTTCTGCTGTCATTTCCAACACATGGGCCAGAGGGAGGTAGGCTATATAGGTGTCTTTAGGACTGAGAGAGAACAGGGTTAGCGTTAGGGTCAGCGGTTTAAGGGTAGGATGCAGGTTGGCTATATAGGTGTCCTTAGGACTGAGAGAACAGGGTTAGCGTTAGGGTCAGCGGTTTAAGGGTAGGATGCAGGTTGGCTATATAGGAGTCTTTAGGACTGAGAGAGAACAGGGTTAGCGTTAGGGTCAGCGGTTTAAGGGTAGGATGCAGGTTGGCTATATAGGTGTCCTTAGGACTGAGAGAGAACAGGGTTAGCGTTAGGGTCAGCGGTTTAAGGGTAGGATGCAGGTTGGCTATATAGGAGTCTTTAGGACTGAGAGAGAACAGGGTTAGCGTTAGGGTCAGCGGTTTAAGGGTAGGATGCAGGTTGGCTATATAGGTGTCTTTAGGACTGAGAGAGAACAGGGTTAGCGTTAGGGTCAGCGGTTTAAGGGTAGGATGCAGGTTGGCTATATAGGAGTCCTTAGGACTGAGAGAACAGACATTATAATACTGCATGGGGTCAGGGGTCAGAGTAAGGGTTTTAGTGAGCAGGTATGTATGACGTTAGGCCAGACGAAGAACAGGGTTAAGGTTAGGGATACAGTTGGAGCATGGGTTCTCAAAGTGGGGTCTGCGGACAGATATATATATAGTACGTTTTGTTGTTGTTGAAATGAATATTACTAACAATGAATTTTGGCCAAGGGATCCGTGGAATACGTTTAGAGTGTGTAATACAATGTAATAATATTAATCTACAATTTCTGTTCTTAACCCTGGGCAACATGGGCCTGAGAGGCTCACAGGGATATTGGTATCCACAGTACACCACCAATTCAATATTTTCAAATCAATACTTCTTGTATTCCCCCCCATAAATGCAGTGTAATTTTAAAAACTGCAAAGTTCTCTCTGCCTCACGGAAACATTTGTAGAATTGCAGGGTATTAGCTTTAAAGCTGCAACAACTTAAAAAATCTCTGTCCCATGAGAAAATGTGTAGAATTACAGGAAATGAGCTTGAAAACTGCAACATTTTCTCTCCGATTCAAAGAGGCCCGCCTTTAAAATGTTTGTTCAGCCATGCACTGCCGATGTCATATTTACATGTACATCTACATTTTTGTCATTTAGCAGACGCTCTTATCCAGAGCGACTTACAGTTAGTGAGTGAATATTTTATTTTATTTTTTCTCTTCTCCATACTGGCCCCCCGTGGGAATCGAACCCACAACCCTGGCGTTGCAAACGCCATGCTCTACCAACTGAGCTACATCCCTGCCGGCCATTCCCTCCCCTACCCTGGACGACGCTGGGCAAATTGTGCGCCGCCCCATGGGTCTCCTGGTCGCGGCCGGCTACGACAGAGCCTGGATATTAAAACTCCTTGTATGCTATTTTTATCTCACTCGAGTTGTGTTCTGATTATGAGGGGGTCCCTGATGAATTTTCTATCACATGTTTGAGAACCCCTGAGTTATGGGTATGGGTTAAGGGGGTACCTCTGGAGGCAGGGAGGGAGAGAGTCTATTCTCCATCCGTAAAACAACTAAACCCAACTGTCACTCACCCCAGGCCAGGGATGCGTTCACACTGTCCGGTCATTCCAGCAGTGATGTTGCTGTGGACGACCATGACTCCTTTGGGTCTGCCTGTAGAACCACTGGTGTACATCACTACAGCCAGGTCTGATGGCTGAGGACTCACCACCGGCCTAGCCACTGTAACAGAGAGTTGTTGGTTCAACAGGTCTCACTTCACTGTAACAGACACAGCCATTGGTTCAACAGCTGTTACACACCTGATTCGGCCAATTAAGGTCTTGATAAGTAGTTGAATCAAGTGTTTTAGTGTTGGTTTGGACCAAAACCATGCTCTAACATTATTTGTGTCATTTTCTAGCGTTCCTCATGCAGTACACTGGTGTTACTCACGGTTGTCAGGCTGTGCCCCCAGCTCCTGTACTGATGCCATGCTGTGGATGGTGATACCAGGTGGGTATCCCTCTGTACTGACCCTCCTCTGGTCTACAGAGATGATGTGTTTCAGCTTGGGGATCTGAGCGAGAACACCCTGTGAAGGATAGAGGGAGGAGAAAAGTTAATTTAGTTAGTAGAAATGCATACCTGGCTGTGACTCCACTCTCTGAGGGCGTCTCTGGGAGCGTTGGGATATGCAAAAAACACATTTCCGATTCAGACGTGTGACTTAGCTATGGTTGGCACATAGTCTCAGACAATTTGAAATAATTGCAACGCATATGTGAAAGACTGAAAATTGAGGCTAGTTGACACATACGTTTACATTATGAACACCTTCCTAATATTGAGTTGCACCCTCCCTTTTGCCCTCATAACAGCCTCAATTCGTCAGGGCATGGACTCTACAAGGTGTTGAAAGCGTTCCACAGGGATGCTGGCCCATGTTGACTCCAATGCTTCCCACAGTTGTGTTAAGTTGGCTGGATGTCCTTTGGTTGGTGGACCATTCTTGATACACACGGGAAACTGTTGAGTGTGAAAAACCTGCAACGTTGCAGTTCTTGACACAAACCGGTGTGCCTGGCACCTACTACCATACCCCATTCAAAGGCACTTAAATATTTTGTCTTGCCCATTCACCCTCTGAATGGCACACATACACAATCCATGTCTCAATTGTCTCAAGGTTTAAAAATCCTTCTTTAACCTGGCTCCTCCCCTTCAACAGGTGACATCAATAAGGGATCATAGCTTTCACCTGGATTCACTTGGTCAGTCTGTCATGAAAAGAGCATGTTTTGTACACTCAGTGTATATTCTGTCAAACCCTCAACTCTGCGGCACCACCATGTTTCAACCCAACTGATCCATTCTAGGTACTAGGTTCTAGGGTTCTATGTTCTAGGTCAGGTGGTTCTAGCTCACCTTCAGTGTGGTCTCCAGTAGTTCTGTGCTGGTAATGAGGTGTGTGACTCCCGTCTCGTTCAGTCCAAACACCACCGCCTCCTCTCCCAGTGTCGCATAGAACGTCACCACTGTGCAAACACAGAGCAACGTCAGTGCACTTTGGACATCGTGTTAGGGTCATTTTCTACCTCTTCTTCTAGCACAGTACTTCCCGGACTGATTGGGAATTATGCACATTCTTGAATTATATACATCCTAATTCTGTGAATTGAGTACTGAACTGGGTACATGACGGAGTACTGAACTGGGTACATGACGGAGTACTGAACTGGGTACATGACGGAGTACTGAACTGGGTACATGACGGAGTACTGAACTGGGTACATGACGGAGTACTGAACTGGGTACATGACTGAGTACTCTGAATTTGTATGAATGTATTTGTTATGTGCTGACCTGAACAAAATGAATTTCCTTGTTAGCGAACAAAAGGCATTCTAATCTAATGGAAATTAATAAACTGGACCTCTATTTAAATATATCTTTATATTTTATAGATATCCCAACACCAGGCCAACATGACTTTGATTAATCAAACTTTCTGGAAAGAAAGCCCTGTTGTTGTTTCGTTGGCTACAACTACTCATGTTGAGCCTTCCATTTCCTCCCAGAGTGTGCCCCAAATGGCACCCTATTCCTTATATAGTGCACTATTTTAGGTATTTTGGGAAGCAGCCCCAGTGTGCAGTACTCACATGGGAAGTTGTGTCTGAAGCAGGCCTGAGCAGAGATCATCCACTCAGCTCTGGTCTCACAGAAGATGGCAACCATACTCTTAGGCTGCTGGCCCAGTGCTGCCAACCCACTGCCCATGTAATTCACTACAGAGTCTACCTGCTGGTAGGACAGCCAGCGGTACTCCCCCAGAATCAGCTGCAAGACAGGAGACAATGTCACCTGTTAGTCTATTTGCATATTACCTTTTAGTCATTTAGCAGGCGCTCTTTTCCTATTTGAATAGAAGAAGAGTGTGCTTCCTTGTTTGTTTATTTTAGGTCAGCAAGAGCTGCGTGACGATAATGTGTTGCGAAGAGAGACAGCTTTATGTAGACATTTAGAAGACATATGTAGCTTCATGTGAACTGAGCACAACAATACGCATATGTAGCACTGTGACGGGCGTATGTAGCCCTGTGACGGGCGTATGTAGCACAGTGACGGGCGTATGTAGCACAGTGACGGGCGTATGTAGCACTGTGACGGGCGTATGTAGCACAGTGACGGGTGTGTAGCACTGTGACTGGCGTATGTAGCACAGTGACGGGCGTATGTAGCACAGTGACGGGTGTGTAGCACTGTGACTGGCGTATGTAGCACAGTGACGGGCGTATGTAGCACAGTGACGGGCGTATGTAGCACAGTGACGGGTGTGTAGCACAGTGACGGGCGTATGTAGCACAGTGACGGGCGTATGTAGCACAGTGACGGGCGTATGTAGCAAAGTGACGGGCGTATGTAGCACAGTGACGGGTGTGTAGCACTGTGACGGGCGTATGTAGCACAGTGACGGGCGTATGTAGCACAGTGACGGGCGTATGTAGCACAGTGACGGGCGTATGTAGCACAGTGACGGGCGTATGTAGCACAGTGACGGGCGTATGTAGCACAGTGACGGGCGTATGTAGCACAGTGACGGGCGTATGTAGCACAGTGACGGGCGTATGTAGCACAGTGACGGGCGTATGTAGCACAGTGACGGGCGTATGTAGCACAGTGACGGGCGTATGTAGCACAGTGACGGGTGTGTAGCACTGTGACGGGCGTATGTAGCACAGTGACGGGCGTATGTAGCACAGTGACGGGCGTATGTAGCACTGTGACGGGCGTATGTAGCACAGTGACGGGCGTATGTAGCACAGTGACGGGTGTGTAGCACTGTGACGGGCGTATGTAGCACAGTGACGGGCGTATGTAGCACAGTGACGGGCGTATGTAGCACAGTGACGGGCGTATGTAGCACAGTGACGGGCGTATGTAGCACTGTGACGGGTGTGTAGCATTAAGACAGGTGTGTAGCATTAAGACAGGTGTGACAGTAGTCCCCTGTAGCTCAGTTGGTAGAGCATGGCGCTTGCAACGCCAGGGTTGTGGGTTCGTTTCCCACAGGGGGCCAGTATGAAAAATGTATGCACTCACTAACTGTAAGTCGCTCTGGATAAGAGCGTCTGCTAAATGACTAAAATGTAAAATGTGTAGCATTAAGACAGGTGTGAAGCATTAAGACAGGTGTGTAGCATTAAGACAGGTGTGTAGCATTAAGACAGGTGTGTAGCATTAAGACAGGTGTGTAGCATTAAGACAGGTGTGAAGCATTAAGACAGGTGTGAAACATTATTGCCGCATTCAAATACTAATTGGAACTAGGAAACTCTGACATTTCCGACTTGCTAATTGGTTGTAGTTATACGCGTGCCACTTTCAACCAGTCAGAAATGTCAGAGTTTCCTAGTTCCGACTAGCACGTGAACGCGGCATTATGACAGGTATGTAGCATTAAACAATGACAGATATGTAGCATTATTACAGGCGTGTAGCATTATAACAGGCTTGTAGCTTTACGACAGGTGTATGTAGCATTACGACAGGTGTATGTAGCATTACGACCTTTACGTTTTAGTCATTTAGCAGATGCTTTTATTCAGAGCAACTTGCAGGAGCAATATGACAGATGTATGTACCATTATGACAGGTGTATGTAGTACTATGACAGGTGTATGTAGCACTATGACAGGAGTATGTAGCACTACGACCGGTGTATGTCGCACTACGACAGGTGTATGTAGCACTACGACAGGTGTATGTAGCACTACGACAGGTGTATGCAGCACTACGACAGGTGTATGCAGCACTACGACAGGTGTATGCAGCACTACGACAGGTGTATGCATGTAGGTTACCTTCTTAAAGACCTTTCCGCTGGGCTGGGGCTCATTCTCCTCACTCAGTACCTCTCTTGTCCCTAGACAGTCAGAGTTCCCAAAGCGCTGCACGGCTTGTTGGAACAGTTTGTCCAGCGTGTCTTTCCCAGGGAAGTCTTCTGTGGCCAAGCTCTGGAAGCGGTCTACACAGCGGTACGGCCCCTCGGAGTGGCCGGAGGTGGAGCGAGCCTTGACCCGTGTGGCCTGCGTTCTCTTCTCCCCAGCCCCGGTGAGGTAGTACCAGGGCAGGAAGGAAAGGAGGGAGTACAGCCACACCAGGAGGTGGAGGGGGAGGAGGAGCAGGGAGTGGAGCTCTGATTGGAGACCCATATTGGATGGGGGGGGTCAGGGGTTAAAGGTCAGGGTGTCAGGTAGAACCTGAGAGGAGATTATTATTAGGATTATTATTATTATTAGGAGATGAGAAGAGGATCCTTATCGATGCCAAGGATCTACTTTAGGCTGATGCCGTCTGGTTCCAGTCCACTCAATTTAAACAGAGTAGGCCTAATGTTGGAACAGAAAATAAAAGGTATTAATATATGTGAAGAAAAAGGGTAAGTGAAAACAGACAGAGCAGTGATGTTCAGGTTGGATGTATCAATAACATAATGTGGTAAGGATTCTCTTACCTACCTGTTCTAGGGTTTTTACACTAAACCGTAGTTAACTACTACATGCCGGAGGCTCCATTAAAAAGGGAATGGATTCCCATTCAACATCATTTACCCTAAACCCTTACTCTAACCCTAAACCTAACTCCTAAGCCTAAAATAGCCTTTTTACAAGTGAGAACCGGCAAAATGTTCTCACTTCTCTGAATTTTGGTTGATTTACTGTTCTTGCGCAGACTTTTGGTACCCAAACGTATGGTAAAATGTGTAGACACACGGCACCTCTCTCCCAGTGCTGGCCTCTTGCTCCTCAGGTTAGCTGTCCTATGTGATGACAGGGTGCAGCCAGAATCTGGAAATGAACTCTGCCTTCACTCCTCCAATGCCTGAATTATCCCACTCCCTCTGAACAACCACCAACCCGGTCTACTGTGCTCTGGGTCCTCATATAGGCTACCCCGGCCGGCTGTGTCTCATTAGTCTGAACTAGCTAGCTTCCTTTCCTTGTGTGTCCTCTCCATGATCACTGATCGGGCAGTAGGGCAGGACAGGTGATAGCAACGTCGTGGGAACACACCCAATATACTCTCCTGAAGGAGATGAGGTGAAGAAACCACGACATTATTGAGACCCAGCCCCTGTAACCAGTTGACTCACTGACCAATGTCCACAGCTCAGCCAACTGAAGAAGATCGAGCCAGTCGCGACCAATGATATCATCTTCCCAGCTCACCCCATGATGAGCTGATCAGGGTCAGGGTACTAGGCTACTCCAGGTCATGCTGACTCACTCTTTAAGCCATCATAACTGGCTTAAACATCAATCCTGGATAGCATCCTTTGATTTGACTACACACTGACAAGTGGACTCCAGAGACAGACACAGAGCTGAAGTCAGTGTTGTTGCAATACACAGAAGTCGTGATCTAAATGTGGACAATATGATTTTCTTTCATCTTCTGAATCAAGACTAGGCATGAGACTAGACGTGATCTATTTATATGGGTCGAGATTATATCATGTGATGCATCCATCATGCAGCAGCAGTCAACATAATTTGGTTAAGAAAGTTGCCACCTGACTGCAATTCAAATGTACACCACTACAGTCACAACGTTGCTTTACACGCAGGTGCAATTAAAATAGGGCAACATTTCAACGCTGCTTACTGCGAGTAGGCCAGGCTATTGGTAAACCGAAAAAAACATTTTAAACGACTGAAAGTGATACTGTCAACAGTGTTCTTCAAATTCCCAAATGTGACAGACAGTCCAGAGGGCCACACGCATTACAAGAAGCCAGCGCTGTCGTTGGCAACAATCTCTACATTAGTTTCAGTCCATTGACGCTACAAGTAAACATATTTTGATCTTCAAAATATACATCTTCTACGCGCTTTCATTTTAGCAGTCGGCTATGTTAGAGAAGGATGCAGACAGCTATATATATTGGCCATTTAAATTAACCTTCTCAATGATCTGCATACGGATTACGCTGTTAATAAGATTATAGCAGCCAGCTAGCAATTGATACCCCCTGTTTACCTGGCAAGCTCGTAACATTCTTACCTTCAGCAGCCAAGCCCGATCAGTCGATCTCTTTTGCCAGAACGAATTGACCGAAAGTTACCTTTTGTGATCCCTACCAGAAAGGGAACCCGGAAACAACACGTCATCTGATTCCATATTTCTGGGCCAATGAGCTGTCGAAGCGGGATTCTTACTTCCTGCTTCTAGGTTCTTCATTAAATTAGTTGTATTATTGAATTGATCTAACTTTAGGTTATTAAATTACCTGGAATGTAAGTGGTATACCGTTGGTTGCATGAATGAAAAGCGAGGTAATGTAAAAACTTTCATTGTATCGTGTATGTTCCCGAGAGCAGTGGACAACTTTGTATCCTAAGTAAGTTTCTGCAACAAACACAACTCAATGGGCATTCATTCACAGACATTTTACAATGTTTGTTAATTGACCACCAGTGTACAAATTTCACCACCTTTTATTTACAGACACGAGTACATACGTCTTATTAGCCTCTGTCTCTTTACAGAGTATTTCATTGTTACCTTTTGTTGTGCCATTACCAGGACATGAAAAAGAATTATGCAAGAAATGAAGAAAAGCTGCAGAGAAATTGAGTGATCGATTGTGCCATCTCCTCTGAGAGAAAGCAGTGTCCCAATGTCAAAGTGAAGAGTAGTGGATATTTTCCTTCCGGTCATTTCTTTCCTTCCACCATGATGATGTGGTAGCCAAACTTGGTCTTGACGGGGGGGTCTGTGTAAATGGGTTTGTCCATGGTGCTGTTGGGTAGGGCGAAGGCAGCGTCCTGGAAGGGTCCAGTCATAGACCCTCTTGTCATCCAGCCCAAGTCACCCTGTCACAACCAGGGTAACACTACATTCAATATTGCCACAGTCACACAAAGGCTAAAACAGGGGTGTCTTCATAAGTCAGACACTGTTGCAAAATGTTTTCAGGTAGGTCCCTCCCGTTTCGTTGCTTTTGCGTCTGTTTGGTTCCTAGAGTAAACGGTTTCCGTTGCAAAAAGTTTTGCAACAGACCAAAAGTTCCACAACAGTCTATGACTAATGAATACACCCCCCAGTTCTCTCACCTGAACAACAATCTTGAAAAACAGTAATAAGTGATAGACAGCAAAACAGAGAGAGGATGCCATCCAGTGGACCTTTTAGGTACTAGCAGACAGCACCCCTTTCAGCTACATGATAAACCAATGCACACTTGAGTGATTGTAAGGGTTAATGTACGTTAGTTGGTGCATGGGAACTGCTCTCTTACCCCTTGTCTGGCTTTGTCTTCACTGTACTGTGAGGCCACTTCACTGAAGCGAACCCCAGCCTTCAGTTTCTCCATCGCCTCCATGCATTTACCATGTTTCTCACACAGGATATGTCTGACCTGGGGAGTACATAAAAATAACAGTTAGTCAATTTAGCTAGCGGTCTATGCTTACATGTGAACACACACACTCTAGTCAAAGAAGGTACAGTATGGTGTACCTAAAATGTAGCATTGCAGAGACTAACGAACATAGGTAGCTACCTTAACAGAAGTGCCTCCTTTTATAGCCTTCTCTTCTTGTTTTCCTTTGTCTCCACCCCCTGCAGCTGCTCCACCTGAATGATAACGTTCAACATAATAACATGACTTACACAGAGATCGCTACCTAGCTGCTATCTAACTGCACACAGGCTGTGTTGTACAGTTGGTTAGCTAGTTAGCATGTTCCTCATGCCTATTCGATTTAGTGAAGAATAAACTAACCTTTGCCTCCCTTGCCACCTTTTCCCCCATCCTTGGCACCTTTCCCCGCCTCCTTGCCACCTTTCCCCTTAGGTGGCATTCTTGAAAATAGCCTTTACTGAAAATGAATGGGACAACTGGAAAGAGAACTGCCAGCTACTACAAGGCACGCTTTTCTTCTTCTTCGGTAGGGTTTATCGGCGATTGGCATCCAACGTTATGGTGCATTACCGCCACCTACTGTACTGGAGTGTGGGCCAGCGACAGGGAGAAACAAAATCCTACCTGCCAGCCCAGTTCTTAAAAAAATATAACATATTTTAGACTATATGTAATGACGGAAGGTCTGCTCAATCCAAGATTACAACCAATTGATTACAGCATTACCCCAAAAATAGAGGAGGTAGGTGGCAGCGGGAGGAGGTAGGGAGGTCTGTCTGCCCAATATAACGGATCAAAGCTGGAAGAGGAATAAAAATAGCATAAATAGGAAAGTATACCAGTTTCAGTTGAGGACCAGGATGTTGACAGCTGTGCCATACAGATTGCAAAATATTTGGGAAGAGATTTTTGATGTACCGATTCCATGGTACAGGGTGTATGAGTTGATATATAAAACGACGCAAGATTCAAGACTTCGTGGTTTTCAGCTAAAAATATTGTACAGAATTCTTGCCACCAATAAAATGTTGAATATTTGGATACAGAATCAATAGACCATTTGTTTTAGTATTGCCCTCAGGTAGCCTGTTTCTGGTCTCAGGTTCAGGAATGGCTGAAAATGCATAAAATTGATCTAAAATTGACCCTAGAAATAGTATTGTTGGGAGATCGGGAGAGAGCTGGTCAGTCAATAACTAATATACTAATACTCTTAGTAAAATTATTTATCTTCAACTCGCCATCTGTGGATTCTATTTGATTAGATGGATTCAAATTGGATGTTAAACATCACAGCATAGTTGAAAGATATACAGTGCATTCGTAAGTATTCAGACCCCTTGACTTTTTCCACAATGTGTTACGTTACAGCCTTATTCGTTACAGCCTTATTATCAATCTACACACAATACCCCATAATGACAAAGCAAAAACCGTTTTTTTGGAAATTTTGCAAATGCATAAAAACTTAAACAGAAATACCTTATTTACATAAGTATTCAGACCCTTTGCTATGAGACTCGAAATTGAGCTCAGGTGCATCCTATTTCCATTGATCATCCTTGAAATGTTTCTACAACTTGATTGGAGTCCATCTGTGGTAAATTCAATTAATTGGACATCTCTGGAAAGACCTGAAAATATCTGTGCAGCAACGCTCCCCATCCAACCTGACAGAGCTTGAGAGGATCTGCAGAGAAGAATGGGAGAAACTCCCCAAATACAGGTGTGCCAAGCTTGTAGCGTCATACCCAAGAAGGCTTGAGGCTGTAATCGCTGCCAAAGGTGCTTCAACAAAGTACTGAGTAAAGGGTCTGAATACTTCTGTAAATGTGATATTTCAGGTTTTTATTTTTAATACATTTGCTAAAATTTCTTAAAACCAGTTTTTGCTTTGTCATTATGGGGTATTGTGTGTAGACTGATGAGGGGAAAAAACAATTAAATCAATTTTAGAATAAGGCTGTAACGAAACAAAGTGTTGAAGAAGTCAAGGGGTCTGAATACTTTCCGAATGCACTGTATGGTTCATAGAAATCCGAAGAGGGTGGCCAGCAGAGATAGGTGGGATGGGCTCAGGGAAGCTGAGGGTTGGGATGTGGAACTGGAGACAAGTGAGAGTGGAGTTTCTGGGCAGGGGATAGAATTGAAGGTCAAAGATTAAAAGTCAAAACAAAAAGTATGTTTGAATGACACTGAGGGGCAGTGTTGTTACAGCTAACGCCTGTTTGACTGAATGCTTGTTTGCCTGAGGCTGATGCCACGCAGGTGTTTGTACACACACTCTCATTCAAACGCACACACACATACATGCACTCAAACATATTCAGTTGGCCTTGCTGTTATGATTGTTGTTGTCCTTGATGTCTTTTGTTTTTTGCATTGTTGTTTTTTGTTTTCCTTTGTCTTCCTCTTTTTTCTCTTTTGTTCATGTTGGTGCATTGGGGGACGGGGGCCTTGGGGTGGGGAATGGAATGGGGGGGTTCTCTGATGGTTGAGGGGCAGCTCTGGGAGAACTGTGGGGGGATCTTGGAGGGCTGGTGGCCTGGCGGTTGGGAGCTTGGGCCGGTGGCTGATGGGTCTCTGGTTCGGGTCCCTGTTTTTGACCTTGTGTGAGATCTGTCGACATGCCGTTGAGCAGGGCGTTGACCCTGTTTGCTTCTGTGGGTCGCTCTGGATGGGAGTCTGTTAGTATTTAGTCAGCCACCAATTGTGCAAGTTCAACCACTTAAAAAGATGAGAGAGGCCTGTAATTTTCATCATAGGTACACGTCAACTATGACAGACAAAATTAGAAAATACATTCCAGAAAATCACATTGTAGGATTTTTTATGAATTTATTTGCAAATTATGGTGGAAAATAAGTATTTGGTCAATAACAAAAGTTTCTCAATACTTTGTTATATACCCTTTGTTGGCAATGACACAGGTCAAACGTTTTCTGTAAGTCTTCACAAGGTTTTCACACACTGTTGCTGGTATTTTGGCCCATTCCTCCATGCAGATCTCCTCTAGAGCAGTGATGTTTTGGGGCTGTCGCTGGGCAACACGGACTTTCAACTCCCTCCAAAGATTTTCTATGGGGTTGAGATCTGGAGACTGGCTAGGCCACTCCAGGACCTTGAAATGCTTCTTACGAACCCACTCCTTCATTGCCCGGGCGGTGTGTTTGGGATCATTGTCATGCTGAAAGACCCAGCCACGTTTCATCTTCAATGCCCTTGCTGATGGAAGGAGGTTTTCACTCAAAATCTCACGATACATGGCCCCATTCATTCTTTCCTTTACACGGATCAGTCGTCCTGGTCCCTTTGCAGAAAAACAGCCCCAAAGCATGATGTTTCCACCCCCATGCTTCACAGTAGGTATGGTGTTCTTTGGGTGCAACTCAGCATTCTTTGTCCTCCAAACACGACGAGTTGAGTTTTTACCAAAAAGTTCTATTTTGGTTTCATCTGACCATATGACATTCTCTCAATCCTCTTCTGGATCATCCAAATGCACTCTAGCAAACTTCAGACGGGCCTGGACATGTACTGGCTTAAGCAGGGGGACACGTCTGGCACTGCAGGATTTGAGTCCCTGGCAGAGTAGTGTGTTACTGATGGTAGGCTTTGTTACTTTGGTCCCAGCTCTCTGCAGGTCATTCACTAGGTCCCCCCGTGTGGTTCTGGGATTTTTGCTCACCGTTCTTGTGATCATTTTGACCCCATGGGGTGAGATCTTGCGTGGAGCCCCAGATCGAGGGAGATTATCAGTGGTCTTGTATGTCTTCCATCTCCTAATAATTGCTCCCACAGTTGATTTCTTCAAACCAAGCTGCTTACCTATTGCAGATTCAGTCTTCCCAGCCTGGTGCAGGTCTACAATTTTGTTTCTGGTGTCCTTTGACAGCTCTTTGGTCTTGGCCATAGTGGAGTTTGGAGTGTGACTGTTTGAGGTTGTGGACAGGTGTCTTTTATACTGATAACAAGTTCAAACAGGTGGAGGACAGAGGAGCCTCTTAAAGAAGTTACAGGTCTGTGAGAGCCAGAAATCTTGCTTGTTTGTAGGTGACCAAATACTTATTTTCCACCATAATTTGCAAATAAATTCATTAAAAATACTACAATGTGATTTTCTGGATTTTTTTTTCTCAATTTGTCTGTCATAGTTGACGTGTACCTATGATGAAAATTACAGGCCTCTCTCATCTTTTTAAGTGGGAGAACTTGCACAATTGGTGGCTGACTAAATACTTTCTTTCCCCACTGTAACTCTGCCCAACTGAGTAGGAGAATCTGAGCATTTTCTGCGCCCTGGAGACTATGTGATGGCAATAGACTACAGAAGAAAGAGCTGGAAAGACCCCATGTGGAGGGGCCCGTACCAGGTGTTGTTGGTTACCTCAATGATGGTAAAAGTGGGAGAGATCGATACTTAGATCCATGTTTCCCACTATAGGAGTGTTCCAACCCCAGGAGAGGAAGACGGCCCGCCATTGGGTAGCATTGTTTTCTTTTGTGTTTGTCTGTGCTTATGTGTCCTTGCAGCAGTAACTCCGAGCTTCCTTATGGGTAGGCTGATAGGACACTCTTCGCAGACCGATGTCGATAGATTGAGAGGGACTCTGGCTGATCCGGAGACCCTAGTGACGGAAGAAGGTTAACAGCTAAAGTGACCATACATCATCGTCCCGGTTACACCAACGGCGGTACGGATAGAGGGGAGCGCAATCGGGTATCATCTAAACCATTATACCAGAGTGAGGGAACTGATGACTAAGAGACCACCGAGACTTTCAAGACCTCCAAGACCTTCCAGACCGCCGAGAGATTCCAGACCTCCAAGACGCACCAGATATCCTCATCATTGATTTCTCTGCACTTGACTAGTTCCCTGAGAATAGGGGGAATGGGGTACTGATAATAGTAAAGAGCAGAAGAACAAGACATAGAAAGGATATAGACAGGATTAGAATGTATATTCTTGCACAGGCAGGAACCATAACTAAAATACAGAAAGTGATCACTATTAAAATACAAGGGTTAAATGGTTATTGGTGTGGGAAGAACCAGCACAAGGAGTATGGGGAAATCACATGGGGTAACGGTGACCTTAAGATAATAAAAGAAAAAGACAGATGGATCATAGACATAAGGATAACAGTTCAAGACTTAGATAAACAATTTGATGTAGTACTTCGTGTTAGAGTTCCAGGGGGAAGTGTTGTTGGAGTAGTTATTCCTTGGGAAAGTGCACTAAACCCTGTACATGTTAGAGCCAGACCAAATACAGAAGAAAGGGAATGGAAGGAGCTGTTAAACAATGATTGGTATAGATGAGTACAATATATTACACTTCAATTAAATAAAGAAAATAGTCTAATATGCACCATATCTCCGTTTTAAAGAATTAACAGTAGTTCAAAATCTTCACAGTTACCAGGACTGTGTGCTAGGATTCAATCACAACTTTTGTAATATTTAGGATATTCTAACTATAAACAATTTTATAATCAACCAGGATGAGGAGAGAAGTGTAAGCAATTGTTAGAATATGAACAAGGAAA